CAATTCCAGCTGTTTTATCCCCAATTCCAGCTGTTTTATCCCCAATCCCAGCTGTTCCCATGCTCAATTCCAGCTGTTTCCATTCCCCAATCCCAGCTGTTTCCATTCCCCAATCCCAGCTGTTTCCATTCCCCAATTCCAGCTGTTTCCATCCCCCATTCCAGCTGTTTCCATCCCCAATTCCAGCTGTTTCCATCCCCAATCCGAGCTGTTTCCATCCCCAATCCCAGCTGTTTTATCCCCAATTCCAGCTGTTTCCATCCCCAATCCCAGCTGTTTCCATGCCCAATCCCAGCTGTTTTATCCCCAATTCCAGCTGTTTCCATCCCCAATTCCAGCTGTTTTATCCCCAATTCCAGCTGTTTCCATCCCCCATTCCAGCTGTTTCCATCCCCCATTCCAGCTGTTTCCATTCCCCAATTCCAGCTGTTTCCATCCCCAATTCCAGCTGTTTCCATGCTCAATCCCAGCTGTTTCCATCCCCAATCCCAGCTGTTTCCATCCCCAATTCCAGCTGTTTTATCCCCAATTCCAGCTGTTTTATCCCCAATCCCAGCTGTTTCCATTCCCCAATTCCAGCTGTTTCCATCCCCCATTCCAGCTGTTTCCATCCCCCATTCCAGCTGTTCCCATCCCCAATCCCAGCTGTTCCCATGCTCAATCCCAGCTGTTTTATCCCCAATCCCAGCTGTTCCCATGCTCAATTCCAGCTGTTTTATCCCCAATCCCAGCTGTTTCCATGCTCAATCCCAGCTGTTTTATCCCCAATTCCAGCTGTTTCCATCCCCAATCCCAGCTGTTCCCATGCTCAATTCCAGCTATTTTATCCCCAATCCCAGCTGTTTCCATCCCCCATTCCAGCTGTTTCCATCCGCAATCCCAGCTGTTCCCATGCTCAATTCCAGCTGTTTCCATCCCCAATCCCAGCTGTTCCCATCCCCAATCCCAGCTGTTCCCATCCCCAATTCCAGCTGTTTCCATCCCCAATCCCAGCTGTTCCCATGCCCAATCCCAGCTGTTCCCATGCTCAATTCCAGCTGTTTTGTTTCCATCCCAGGGAACATCAACATCTGTCTGATGGGGGATCCAGGTGTGGCCAAGTCCCAGCTGCTCACCTACATCGACCGCCTGGCGCCGCGCAGTGAGTGCAGCCTTCCTCTGACTGCTCTTCCTCNTCATTCCCCCCATTACCCCCCCCCAGGCCAGTACACCACGGGCCGTGGCTCTTCGGGCGTGGGTCTGACGGCGGCCGTGCTGCGGGACCCCCAGAGCGGGGAGCTCACCCTGGAGGGGGGCGCCCTGGTCCTGGCCGACCGCGGCGTTTGCTGCATCGACGAGTTCGACAAAATGCTCGACGCCGACCGCGTGGCCGTGCACGAGGCCCTGGAGCAGCAGAGCGTGGCCGTGGCCAAGGCCGGCGTCATGGCCACGCTCAACGCCCGCTGCGCCGTCCTGGCCGCCGCCAACCCGGCCCTGGGCCGCTACGACCCCCGGCGCAGCCTGGAGCACAACCTGCGGCTGCCGGCGGCGCTTCTGTCCCGCTTCGACCTCCTGTGGCTGCTCCAGGACCGGCCCCACAGGGACCGAGACCTGCGGTGAGCCGGGGGGTGGGGTGGGATCCATGGAGGAGTCTTGGGATCCATGGAAGAGTCTTTGGGTTGGGTTGGGTTTGGGGTCAATGGAAGAGTCTTTGGGTTGAGTTTGGCTCTGTTGGGTTGAGTTGGGCTCAATGGAAGAGTCTTTGTATTGAGTTGTGTTGGGTTTGGGGTCAATGGAAGAGTCTTTGGGTTGAGTTGGGATCAATGGAAGAGTCTTTGGGTTGAGTTGAGTTGAGTTTGGGATCCAAGGAAGAGTGTTTGTGTTGAGTTAGATTGAGTTGGGATCCATGGAGGAGTCTTTGGGTTGAGTTGTGTTGGGTTTGGTGTCGATGGAAGAGTCTTTGGGTTGAGTTGAGTTGAGTTTGGGATCCATGGAAGAGTGTTTGTGTTGAGTTGGATTGAGTTGGGATCAATGGAAGAGTCTTTGGGTAGAGTTGGGTTGAGTTTGGAACCAGTGGAAGAGTCTTGGGATCAATGGAAGAGTCTTTGTGTTGAGTTTGGGGTCAATGGCAGAGTCTTTGGGATGGGTTGAGATCAATGGCAGAGTCTTTGGGTTGGGTTGGGGTCAATGGAAGAGTCTTTGGGTTGGGTTTGGGGTCAATGGAAGAGTCTTTGGGTTGGGTTT